CAAACGGGATGCTCTTCTTCGTCAGGCGGTTTATCGGCTCAGCGATGGTTGCGAAGTCGGGTATGAAGCGACGATACCACGACATCATCCCCATGAATCGCTTCACCTGTCTGACCGTCCGTGGTACTGGGTACTCCATAATGGGCTTGATCTTCTCTAGATCCGGCCTTACCCCTTCACGGTTCACTAGGACCCCCAGGTACTTGACTTCCGACTTACAGAAGTGGCTTTTGGTCTTATTCACAGTGAGGCCCGCACCCAGGATTCGTTGTAAAACCAATCCCAGGTGTCGCTTATGCTCCTCAAAAGACGGCGAGATAATAATCACGTCATCGAGGTACGCAAAAGCGAACGGATCTAAATCCGGGCCAATCACTCTGTCCATCAACCTCTGGAAAGTCGCGCCGGCGTAGGACAATCCGAAGGGCATTCTCTTGAACTGAAAATGCCCCAGGCCGGGGACTGTGAACGCCGTAATGGGGCGCGACTCCTTTTTAAGAGGTATCTGGTGGTATGCGCTACTCAAGTCCAGTGTCGAGATGAACTTCGCATCCCTGACCCTTCGCAGGATGTCGCTCATGAAGGGTAATGGGTAGGCGTCCGGCTTGGTTACTGCGTTTACCTTCTGGTAATTCACGCAGAATCGGTATTTGCCGTCTGCCTTCTTAACCATCACCACTGGACTTGACCACCCGCTGGTTGCCGGTTCAATGACGTCGTTGTCCAGCATGGCCTTGACCAGCGCGTGCATTTCGTCTCGCACCCTGTCGGAGACCGGGTAGTATTTCTGTTTACAGGGTCGAGCGTCTCCGATGTCTATCTCATGCTCGACCCCCACAGCACAGCCTAAACACTCGCCTCCGTCTGGAATTAATCCATCGACGAGGCTAGCCACTTCTTGACGCTGTGCTTCCGTGGCTTCTACCAGGCCTACAGGTGCGAGGCACGACGTACCAGTGACGCTTGCCACTTCCAACGGTACCGCCACTTTGGCTTTCGCCAAGTACAGCTGGTCCGTGTCAGGGTTCAGGTTGGCGCTGAATTCCCTCACGAAATTCGCGCCGACGTAGCAGTCATCAGACAGCAGTGGCGTTATAGCGACCCTTACATCTTTTGTGATTCCCCCTACTGTGAAGGGGAAAATCACATGACCCAAGATGGGACATGGGCGACCGTCAGCGAGCTTCGCTTCTCCCGCTCGCGTGACGTCCAGGCCCAGCCCCATGTCTGATGCCAACCTAAGCCCGAGTCGACCCATTACCGTTGATGAGGCCCCGGTGTCGTAGAGTGCCCTTAACTTGTAGGCACCTATCCCCACCTGAAGCCACCATCGGGTCTCATCCTCGGGTCTATACCTGCGGAGAGCTTTCGCCGTCTCTCTCCCCTCTGTGGACGGGAGGCTTTCACGGCTCTTCTTGCCCTGGGCAGCTGCTACTCGCATCGACGTGCTCTCACCCTCAGGTGTCTGGGTCGCCGGCGTACCCTCCGGAGTGTCAGGTGGTCTCCTGGAGCTTTTGGGTCTGATGGTCTCCTCTCCGACCCATTCAAACCCCTGCTCCACCACCTGAATCCGGCCTCCGTACCCTTCAAGGATACAGAATGCCCGGTTACCCTGCTCAGGCATATGCTCGGTCGCTGTCGCTTCCGACGCCACCGCACTGCTAGTACTCGTAGGGTCCGATATCCCTGGCGAGACCTTCCTGAACCCTGGAGTCGCTGGCGGGCCCCTACCCCGTTCCAGCGACCCGCGACGAGAGGTCTCCTTTACTGGGGACGCGGAGGGGACCTCCGTCCTCCGCTTCCCTGCCCGTTTCCCTTGTTGCAATCCGGGCAGTACCTTCTGGTAAAGCCTAGTTTGCCACAAGACGAGCACTTGATCGGTTGGGAGTAATCTATTTTCCTCCGCTGACCCTCTCGTCGCTGGCCAGGAGACCCTGGGGGGGTTTTATTCCTCCCCTTTTCTTGCAGCCGACCCCTCGCCCGCCTGGGAGAGTTAGCCTTCCTCTCCTTAAAATACCGGTCCATATCGCGCCGCAGGGTCGCAATCTGCGACGATAGATCCTCAATGGGGTCTGTCGCCTGCGTTGCGGCGATTGTGGGCCGGTCCTCGGGTTTCCTGGCCGGGGCTTTGACCGGCGACTCGGGTTGCAGCTGTTCCCTACCCCGAGGCTTGTTAGACATGGCCGCCGTTCGGGGTCCTGCTCGGGGCGGTGGTGCCTTAGCTGACACTCCCATGTGCTCGGGGTACAACGTGGACGTTGGCTCCAGCCTGGTCCTCGGGCGCTCGTCGTCCCGCAAAGCGGTCTCGATCTCAGTCGCTCGGGCGTGGAATTCGTCCACGTTGGAGAACGCATTCCTCCGCAGCTGCATCCAGATGGCGGGTAGGAGATTTGCATACAGCAAATCTAACTGCCGCTGCTCTGGTAACGGCGGGCGTAGCTGGGCTAACATGAAGAGGAGGTGGCAGGCATATTCTCGCACCAGCTCTCCTTTCTCCTGGTATCGGGCTTGGGCCTCTTGCAGCAACCTTTGTTGCTGCAGCTCACTCGACCCAAACCAGCGTCGAGCGCCTGCCACGAAGTCGGTGTAACTGCTCCACTTGATCTTGTTAAGCTCGTACCAGGTCCTCGCAACGCCTTCGAGGAGCTCTGATACCGAGCACAAGATCTCGCCGTCTGTTAGCCCAGAACCCGCGCGTAGATCTTCCAGTCTCGACAAGAAGGTGTCTACGCACTCTGAAGCCGTACCAGAGTATCGCAGCTTCCATCCCCGGACAATCCTACCCGCGTCCCCGAGTCGCGTAGTACCCCGACGCCGCATTGGCGTCGTACCAGGCGGATCCTTCGGGGATCGCCTGCCCTTCATCCATGTCGGCGTCTCTTGGTCCTCTTCTCGGTGGCTGTTCCGTCCTTGAAGGCACCTGCCTTTGGGGAGCCTCTCGAGGTTCGCCAGGGGTCGGTCGCTGGGGTTCCGGGGTACTACCTGGTACCCTTGGGTCGTAGTGGCACGTATACGTGGATTGGAAGTCCACGGTCCTCCGGGGCCGCTCTGGTATGACCGTTCGTCGATTGGTGGGGTCCCTGTTTCTCAACTGTTGGACCTCCACCTGCAGGGCGGTCACCTGGTCGCTCCACCGCGCGCATACCTGGTCGTGTCTTTCCAACATCTCTAATATGCGGTCTATACCGACCCGGTTGCGCTCGATCTCTTCCTTTAGTCGTTCGGTCACGCACCGCTCTTCCTCTTCTACTGGAGGTTGTAGCTCCGCGTTCTCGAAGCGACGGGCTCTTCGCCTATCCGGCGATCCGGTGCAGCCCTTGTGCTCACTACCGACCCCCTCCGTGGGCCCCTTGACCTCGCCGGTCCCCCCTACCTCTGCGGGCTCTCGCTCCCCCGTCTCGCTCTGACTCTCCTCTTCCAAGTTGTCGTAGACCGTGAGAGTCCGCGTCAGGTTCGCCTCCACCACCTCATCCCTGTATAGCAGCATGAGTGGGTGGGCGACAAGATCCTCCGCATCAGCTGCTTCTAACTCTTGTCGCTTGGACTCCAGCCACCTCTCTCGACTCCTTCGCCTGCGTTGTGTGGCCTCCCTATCCAACGCCGCTCCTTGGAAGTCTAGGTCAATATACTCCCCTAGCAACCAATATGCTAATCGAACTGCCTGCATCAGCTTGGGATCAATTGCGAATGGCCTTTATCTCGTCCGGAAGTCACTTAAAGTGAGAGATTACCGAACCGGTCGGGTAAGGCGCCTCGCGCCGACATAAGCTGTTTTCGACTCGAGCGACAGAGCCAAGAAGAAGCGCCTCACCTACAAGACCAGTTTGCAAGCCTTGGTGGCTTCTGTGCGGAAACAACGTGCAAACAACATGCGACATGTAAAGTAGATCACGACGTAACCTAGTATTTACTAGGCAGCAACTTGTAAGTACTGCTGCGTACCTTACTCTCTCTCCCAATTCAGCTTTCTACTTTCTCTCTCTCCTATTTGCTTCGCCGCTCTTATATTATTTTTTTTAACATTTATCCGTTATTCTAATAAACAACACGCTTATTACTTAACACGAGTTCGCTTTATTCCGTCCTTCCGCCCATCTCCTCGACCTTTCAATTTCGCGTTTAGGCGTGCGAGACTTACGCCGCGACCTGGCATTGGAGCCACGACGCCCCGACAACACCTGACGAGCCGAGCTGTTCCTACCTAACCGAGCCCGGATTCTTTACTTGCGTTATCCACATATCCGCATATACTAATTTTTATGTCAACGGGACTGTTCCCCGTTACAAAGTTTATTTTTTTATCTATATAAAAAAATAATTAAAATAACTATACAAAAAATAACAAAGTTGGTAATTCAGGTGGATAGATTTTTTGAAGTATTTCTCATCATATTTTAAATTTAATGCGGTATTCATAGAAAATTGACTTCATTTGAAGTTTCAATTTTCAGTATAAGACAACTTACCATAAATATCATCTTCTTTCTCATATTATGATAAATTCAAAATAACGACGTCAAAATTTATGCCAGATATAGAAAATAGGTGAAAATAGAAGTAGCGCGAGTGTATACGTTTTGAAGGGAATGAGCTATGCAATTACGCTATTAGCTTTTATATGACGATCAGAAATAGAAATTAATACTAGAAATTTTTGATAATTTATAAACATTTGAAGCAACGGATACGCACCAGTATACGAGTACCAATATCACATTTTCTCCTACCTGTGGTGTCTATTCACCTGTACGTAGATCAACTGTTTACAGAATCATTATTTAATTTTTTGTTATTGGCGTGTAGATTACATGAATTGAAAAAGTTTGAATTTAGATTTAAGTTTTATAAAATGATTTGAAATTGGAACTTGTATTCTTGTATGTTCGAAGTATTCCAAAAAGAAATATACAATTAATCAATCAGAATATTGTAAGTTCAAAGTGATTCTTAAAATTTTACATGTTATAAAAAATAAAAACAATGTAATAAAAAAAACTTACTTGCTTTCATTGGCTAAAGGAGCTATATATAGTGGTAGTATATGACCAGGTGGAATTGAAGCAGAAATCATTTTTTTACCTCCAGCTAATGCTTGTAAATGACTAGCGTAAATATCTAAATTAATCTCTTTACCAAGTTTTTGCACTAATAATAGAGGCATTTCTGTTAATCTATCAAGTAAATCCCTTTTTTCGTGACGTATTTGCATTTTTAATGTATAATCACCTTTTTCTATTTTCGGTAAGATATACTAAAAATGAAGATACTATCATAAGTATACATTTACAATAGTTATGCATTCAGAATAAAAATAATTAATATTGCTCACTTTTGTTGGATAAGCATCGCCACAATGTATTAGTTGTTTATTAGAATTATATATCATCCATAATTGACTCTCATATTCATTTTCATATAGCAATTCGCTTATGAGAGTAGCATTGGGCATTATTTCCGTTGTTTTCATAATATGAAATGTATATGTCAGTAACAGTTCCAAGATTTGCCGTGCTGGAGGTATAACATCACGTATCCGCAAAGGTTTAATTTTAGAATCGATAGGTCTGGAATTTCAATACAAAATATATTGTTCTGCACATAATCGTTGTTTTAAATATGCCAAAATGTGGATGTACATTTTTTGGATATTCTTATTTTGCAACTCAGATGATACCAAATTATGATGTTTAATTTAACACTAAAGAATAGAATTACGTCAATATTATACGTAAATATATTTTTATATATAATTCAAATAAATGTAATTACAATCGCAAATAATTTTAATTACCGGATGACTAATAAAATGCCGTGACCGCTACTATCCTGCCATTCTATAATCTCATCGCTAAATTATTATAATCATATTTAAATTTTTCTTATGTAAATTGGAAAATAGGAATTTCAACTGAATAATTAATATTGTATCAGATTCAATATGGCTTTTTCCCAATTCGTTATTGGTTGTCTCTTATCAGTTATGATGGAAGAACTACATCTTCTTAATATAAATTCTCGAATGCACACAATGCATTTTGGTTCACCCCGGACTAACTCAGGTATCAATTATTTTTATTCGGGTGGCAGCCCTGCCATCGATTCGCTTTTCACGAACGCAGGAGTTTATTGTTGAGCGTAGGAGAGCCGGCGCCAGGGCCACTATTCTGTATCGGTTTGTTGTTGTTTATCGTATAAATAATTTTACATTAAATCATTGTCACCATTAATTTTCGCCTTAGTCACTCCTCATCCCAACTTTTTCTTCGTGCGTTTGATCCATTTGCTTGATGGATCATTTAGTCATCGGAATATTCGTGCTTCCCGAATCTCTCCTCTTTAATAAATTGTACGAACAGCCGCGAGCTAACCTAACGGGAACGACTGATTTCACTGTTACATGGCATCTCTTGTTGGGATTTCTTCGATGCACGCGTAATTTTCTGTTGCGATAGATGATGAGTGACGGTTGCTTGGACGCGCGATTAAATAGGTGGTCAGCACAGAGGAAAAGTTCGCCATTCGCCTGCGCGTGCGTGATAATATCGTGGATCTGGAATAGGAGTCCCTAGTTAAGAGTGAGCTCCAGCTTTCGCCTGAGTACCGAGGTTGACCTCAGCGTACGCCGCTTGAGAGCGCAGTTGTCACTTAGGTCAAAAGAAGTTCGGCTGTTCAATGGTATACGTGGCGTGCGCAGTCGTAGATTGGCTACGCAATAGCGGAGCGGCTGTGTAGAGACCATCAGCTGCGAAGTAGCTGAATTGGATATGCAGTAGCCCAATGCTATGCATAACGGGAATTTAAGGTATGGAGCGGCCAGCCTGGGTGCGCAGTAGCAGTTCAGGTGAAACACATGCGTATTGAGTACGTAGTAGTTCCATAGGGAACAGCCGACTCCAGAGTAAGTGAAGCGGTTCGAGCACATGCGTGGAAGGGTTCTAGACTGAATTTTAGATTGCGGCACGGTAAATCGGGGCATTTCAACTGCGGTTCTGCTACGCAAGGCCGATACAATACTGCTAGAGCCAGGGGGGCCCATCCCACAAGAATAGGGTTTGTAACGAAGTTGTATCGTTACCAATTTTTGGACGGGCACGTGAGGCGCTCTAGCTCAAAGCCATCAGGAAGGAGAGAGGAAAAGATCAAGAAATAAATTGAAATCGCGTTTCAGAAAACCACTAAATTAGATATCATAATTATATTAACTCAAACTTGTACAAACCTTAAGCACTAATGAACATATCGGTATTCTTACATAATACATACACACAAAAGAAAAGGAAAGATAAATAAATTTAGATTACCCGCGCTCACACAATATCAACGAACAACGAAACGTATCTCCTGGCAGGTAACTGTCTCGGCGACGAATCGACTTATTCTAATTACGCTAGGTGAAACCGCCCGGCAAAAGATCGCCTTGACGGATCGCTATCTTAATCTAATACGTTGGCCATGGTAGCCGGCCGCTAACGCCTTGCCACCTATCTGAGAGAGAGAGAGAGAGAGAGAGAGAGAGAGAGAGAGAGAGAGAGAAGAAAGAGAATAAAAGTAGCCTTCACCTTGCTGACGGTGCCGAACGTTGGTAAGGCCTGGCTGCGCCCTGCGGATGGTGATGCTGGCCGCCGCTGGGGTCAATGCTTAGCTGGCTTCTTCCCCGGGAGCGTTCCTGGCAGAGGTATTGGTGAAGGTCACTGGTAATTTTTTTGGTGTGCTTCCTTTCGTCTCTGTCCCAGAGTAGCTTAAGAAAGTTGGCTCGTTGCTTCCTAAGGTTGATGTATGGTTCTGACCGCACGATTCACCGCAATCGAAAGCTTTCTTCCACTTTTTTTTCTCACTTGACCTACTTATTAGGCGCTGCGCGACTAAGGCGCTAATTGGTTACGCGTCGCGTAAACCTGCCTAAACCTGCGTGGGGTACAGATACACCTCTCTTTCTCTTTCTAACACCTAGCGTGGTCCACTCCAGCGGCGTCAGGCTGGCTCGGCCTCGCTCGGCAATTTGCATCGGCTGAAAACAAAGGCCACGCATTAGGCGCAAAGTGTCCGCGGCGGCAGATGTGCCAGCGGGTTGCATCGATACCAGAACACCTCTTGTTAGTTTTCGTTTTTCTATGGGTTGGCTTACCCGCCGTGCCCTTGTTCGAGAGATTAGGAAAAATGCCACTCACCTTAGGAAAACCGGATCTGTACATCCGCCATCTACCCAGATAACCGGAGCTCCAAATGGTGCGGGAGCGTATTCTGAAGATGCTGCTACAGCAGCTGACCGAACTGATGCTTTAAGAGGGTCTGAGGCCTGAAGGGGTGTTAGTCGTGTTCCAGGATCATTTATTCCACGCTTTTGTGATGACGTCGGGGCCGGAGACGGGTGCTTTCTTGAACTACGAGGATTCTTTTTCTGTCCAGTTCTAGAGCTTACTGATAATGAGAGTAGAGACTCGAAGGCGGGTCAGAATCTTTTTACAGTTGTAGAACAAGCGTTGGTCCGCGTAGCGGCCTCGAATCTCTCGAAAGGTGGCGAGATTTCCCTGCTTTATGCCTCTGGGTCAGATAATCGGATGGACATCGTCCATCAAATCCATATTGGTAAGGGTACGAAGAGTGAATCATCCATGGTTATCTCCGGGGCGCTGCGGGGTAGTGTGACGGATCTCAGAGATGGAAACGGTATGGAAACGGCGGGGTTGTTGAATCTTATCTCGCCGCCGGTTATTTCACACGATTCCGCAATGCTTGATCAGCTGATGCTTCTCTTGCAAGCTCTTAGGTTTGGTGCGAGAGTTCGAGCTGGATCGACAAGTGTGGTCCCAATAACCCAATAACCCACTGGCTTCGATTCCCATTGCCCCTCCTGTCTCCCAAGTGACACTAACACGTATGGTTTTCACGTCGCAGCAGTCAAAGAAGCAGACCGAGATTCAGAGGCGATCTAGCCTTCATGGACTGCGGACTAGCTTCTAGATCACGAGGTGCTTCCAACTTTGGACGTGATCTTCTCTGATTGCGCGGAGATGTGGCTGACCAACAAAGTCGAAACGTGACGCACATTACAGGAGCTTGAGACAAATTACTATTGCCATTACTATTGCTTAGTACTGTCGAGACCTCCCTCAACTTTACGACGTGTTGGGTGGTCGAGCGTAGGGTGTGGATGAGACGATATGGAATCACGTAATTGCGTTTGAGAGCATTATGAGCAGGGTGAGACGTCCCCCATCAGAGGAAGCAAGTCCGGCTGACGAAGCAGGACTGAACCTGGAGTATACAACCAAATCCCGATCACGTCAAGCGCTTTAAATTTTACATTCCGCGTTTTGAATTTTATAGTTCCGTGGAACATCAAACAGTTTCGTCGCTTCCTAAGGATGTGTGGGTGGTACTCCAATTTCATCGAGCATGAGTCGCATAAGAAGATATCACACTGGAGCAGCAGAAAATATTTGACTCACTGAAGCAAGCATTAACAGAAGCTCCAATGCTGGTACACCCAGACTCCACCAGATTCCTTTATGAGCTCTGCGACGCTTCGTCCATGCACTTGGTGCCTGATTGATGCAGAAGGACGACGAGGGGTACGATCACTCGGGATGTTACGCAAGTCGCAGCCTTAATGAACATGAGTAGAATTATACCGTGTCGGAATTTGAATGTCTATGATTACTGTTTGGTATTCAAGAGTTCAAGTTGTATATCTAAGACACGTATTTCGAGTTGGTGTATCGCAAAGGGATACTCCATCACATCCCTGACGCGTGACCTCGGATATGAGACCAGGAGGAAAATTGGAGCGTTTAAGTCGATCAGCGACCAGCGGTACTTTCAGCGAGTGAAGAACATCGAGCTAAGACCACTAAAGTGCCGGTTGAAAGGCCAAGGATGGAATGCTATACAAGTACGATACCAACGAACTTCTTGACTCGGTAACTCATAAGGAGCAGTGCTGACGATTTTTTGTATCGGAGGAGTGTCAATCACATGCTATACGAGATGCTCACTGCGAACCATCATCGGGACATATCGGCAGCGATAAACTGTATGATCGCATCGCGCGCGAGTATTTCTGGTCAGGTGTGTCATGACAATTATGCCAACAACACAAGGTCGAACGGGATGTATTTAAATGTATTATAAGCAAGCGAGTTGTCAAACATCCGTGGGCAGTCATTGCCACGGATGTAATCGAATTACCCCGCAGTAAGAATCGGTACAATTACCTGATGGTATCCTAGGACCTGTTCAATAAGTGGGTGGAGTCCAAGACACTGACGGTCGCTACTGGAAATACCTTGGATGTGCCCTTGAAAAATTAATCTTTTTGAGATGGGAAGGCCTTGTATATCTGGTGAGTGATAATGATAAAAACTACTGTGTAATAGAGTTCAACAGTATCCTTAAAGAGTATGGAATCGAACATGTGCAATGCTCACCTTACGATCAATGAGCCGATTTCTGCAAGTAAACGATCAAGACGTTGCAGATCATGATCTGATTTTTCGTATATCATGATCACCGCAACTAGAATAAGCACCTATACTATTTTCGGCACGTGATGAACGCGGCTATT